GGGGCCTTCTGTGGTATAGATGCACTGGAATTACTTGTAGGACAGCAGCTTTAAAATTTCTTTCAGTTCTTCCCCTGGTAAAATAGTGCTGTGTATATCTTTATGCATTAATCTTTGTCAGTCTTAATGATTATATCCATAAGATAAATTCCTAGACATGTCACTACTGAATAAAGACTAAAAAAGTTATAATAAAGGATGTAGTATGGACAGTTAGTAAAAATTTAATTTGTCGAATGTGGACTGGATAATAGTATTGTATCAGTATTTCTGATTTTGACAATTGCCCTGTGACTGTGTAAGAGAATGTTCTTATTTTTAGGAAATATATGCTAAAATATTTAGAGGTGAAAGAGGCTAATGCTTGTAACTTAGAAGTCTCAGAAAAATGTGTGCTTACGTATATGTGTGTAGAGAGAGAGCGTGTATATATGATTGTGTGGATGTGAATGATAAACAAATGGGGCACAATGTTAACAGTCATTGAATCTGGGCAGAGAGTATATGGGAGTTTTTTGTACCATTGTAGTTTTTCTGTAAGTTTGAAATTATGTCAAAGTAAAGTTACAAAAGATAGTCTTTATAGCAATCATTATTCTTTCTGAAATTTTATAATGCAAAATTTCAGATACAGACAAGTTGAAAGTCTAGTCCAATAAAGATGATTATTAACATTTTGTCATATGTCCTTTGTCTACCTATCTCTATAGCTATATAAATATATTTTTTCTGAATCATCTGAAAGTAAGTGGTAGACATCAGATCACCTAACCCTGTATACTTTAGTATGCGTCTTCTCAGAATAAAGAATTTTCCCCTTATAACCATAATATCATTATCACATGTAGAAAATAAAACAGTTAACTAATATCTAATATGTAACCCATCTTCAACTTTATAATTATCCAAAAACATCTTATTGCTGTTCTATTTTCAAAACAAGATCCAATCAAGATTTGTGTAGTTCCATTTGATTGTTATATTTCTTCAGTCTGTCTTAATCTAAAACAGTCCTTTTACTTTATTGTTGTTTGCTTTAAATGATGCATTAAACATGTCTGGATTTGTCTGATTGCTTCCTCATATTGTCACTTAAAATATTCCCCTGAATTCTGGTAACCTGAAACTTAGGTGTAAAAGCCTGTTTTGATTTAAGCTAAATATTTTTGGGAAGAATACTACATAGGTGATGATTATGTAACATTCAACTGACAGAATTGTGTCATAATTTGATTTGTGCTGTTATAAATTAACCATTATTATTGTTTTCTGAGGGGGAGGTAATTAGATTTCTTCATTGATTTCCGCTTGGAGGAGGTACCGGGGATTGAACCCGGGACCTCTTGGATGCTGAGCATGCGCTCTACCACTTGAGCTGTATCTTTCCCCCTAACCGTTATTATTGAACATTGGATTTGCATCCAGGTGTTTTGCTATTCTAAAAAATACTTTGCAAATTTTTATATAAAGTTTTATCCTGAAGTTCAGTTCTTTAGACAAAATGCTCAAATATGAAATGATTGGGTTAATGACAGAACACATTTATGATGGCTCTTGGTAGGTTTAGCTAGTTTTAATTAGTGATTTGGCATGAAGCTTCTAGACAACTTTTCAATTGTTTTCGATATACTTTTTTTCCTTTTTCAGGGGCTGAAAGAAGTGACACTCCTTGGTCAGAATGTTAATAGTTTTCGGGACACTTCAGAGGTCCAGTTCAACAATGCAGTGTCCACCAACCTCAGCCGTGGCTTTTCCAGCAACTATAAAACCAAGCAAGGGGGCCTTCGTTTTGCTCACCTTCTAGATCAGGTCTCCAGAATAGATCCTGAAATGAGGATCCGTTTTACCTCTCCCCACCCCAAGGATTTTCCTGATGAGGTGTGTATTGACAGTTTACTGTGTCAAACTGATATCAGTATCCGTAAGCATGCCAAAGGTTGGACCCAGTAGGAGTCAGCAGAGGCCTCTGCCCTCAGAGGATCAGGGGATCCTATGATGTATTGCTGTATTGCCCTCTTGAATCTACTGGTCCTTTGGAAAGATTTAGAGTCCACCAAGGTGGGGGCAGGTATAGGACTGATATTAATGGGAGGTTAAGACCGCACGAGGTTAAGACCACACAAGGTGGTGTGGGAAGGACAGGTAGGGAGGTAATGTGATGCAGTGGAAAGCAGTCCAGACTTTGGCGTCAGACAGAGCTGAATTCAATCCTGGCTTTTCCACTGCTTTATTAGTAGGGGTGACCTTTTCAGCTAATCTTCTTTTGTAAAGTGGTTAGTAATCACCTCTTGCTTTGGGTTACTGGGAAATAGATATAATATGTGGAAGGTACTCAGCAAAGTGATTGGTATGGAGGATGTAGCTCACATGTGAAATTTTTTAGGGGAGGTTTTTTTGTTTTGGTAAAATGTCTGTCTTTTTGGCCCCACCCCTACTTTTCTCCCTCTGGATTATTTGTCTTCTTATTGAGTTGTGAAAGTTCTTTATATATTCTTGATACAAATCATTTGTCAATGTATTTTTTCAAGTATTTTCTCCTAGTTTCAGTTTCTTGGTGGGTGTCTTTTAAAGTGGCTAATTAGTTTGTTAAGCTAGATGAAACAAATGCCATTTTTCCTTTCTTGTCTGTGTCAGCACTACCCCTAAAAAGCCCCATAGCTCTCACCTCTGCTTACTTTCTTCACTCTGAAAGCAGAGATGCCATGAGGTGAAGTGTCTGGGACAGACATTACATGACTTTTGCAAAAGTAAAGAATTGGATAATTTGTGTGTTTGGTTTAAACAGCTTCTTAACTCTCGAAAATTAACCTCGGTGGAGAAACAGTGGGGATGATGTTCCTTTCTGCAAGATTCTTTGGTGATACTTTGATGATTTTTAATGTGCTCTGTTTGTTCAGGTTCTGCAGCTGATTCATGAGAGAGACAACATCTGTAAACAGATCCACCTACCAGCCCAGAGTGGAAGCAGCCGTGTATTGGAGGCTATGCAGAGGGGGTCAGACTTGCTTGGGGAGGGGCATCTCACACCTTTCCTTGTTTCCTTAAGGACTCAGCAGTGTCTAAGAACCTAGCATAGTATGTGGCACATAGTAGCTGCTCAGTAAATATTTATTCTATGAGTAAACCCATGGATATTGTAACTTGCTTCTGTTCACTCTATAAATATAGACTAAGGACTGGATCACTCATTTCGTTTGTTTAGCATGTTTTTTATTATGTACCTACTGTGTGACACACTGAGATTTTAGTCATTAAGCTTTTAACATTTATCAAGTTTTTTAGGTCTTGGAATTTAAATGTAGCTCTCTGCATTCCTTTACTTTGGGAATAGTCAGTATGCAGAAATAAGACTGAAAGGAAAATGTGACAAATGGCAAGCTGTATGGAACTGGTGATTTGCCTTGTTTTCCACATTTGGCAAAGAGTTTTAGAGATCTTAAATGTTTAATCTGTCTTCATTTCTTAGTTAAATAAAAAGGGTTATTTAAAATAATTTATATTCTTGAATTAAGAATTTATAAGCTCTGGATTAGGTTACAGTACAGGATTTGGATTAACAGGGCTCTTTTGGATACTTTAACCTAGCCCTGTACTGTCTTATGTGAATGAGAAGTGATTACATGTGGTAATTCATAGTGTTA